TGGAACCCCAAATAATTGAAATAATTAAAATCGCTGCTTATTTGTGCAACCCGCCAAACCCCCAGCATTTCCATAATTGAAATAATCGAAACTTCAGTTATTTTGGGACACCACATGGTTCAAATAACTGAAATGATTGAAGTCGGCCCGATTTCGATTATTTCAATGGCCCATCACGGGCCACAGGACCAACTCAATCTCCTGAGCACGGTTGTGTTGAAACAGGAGGAGATCATAAGCCGGCTCCGCCACGAGAAAATCTTCGTTCTCTTCATGAACAACGAGACCAACGGCACCCTGGGCACCCTGATGAAGATCGCCAAGGACTGGCGAACCAAGAAGAATCTGGAGACGGAGACTTTACAGTCTCCCCTCCGCACGGTTCAGGTGGCCAGCATGCTTCGAGAGGTGATGAACTTGGCTCAGCAAGCCGTCGCCACGGAGGAGGCCAAGGCCAAACATGTCCAGACCGAATGGCTCGCGAGCACCGGGGCCTGGAACTACCGCATCTGGAATCACACCGAGCGCAAACTTCAGGTCGATCCAGGTCGAACGCCCCTCCAACACGACGAGGCCATCCGCTTGTTGACCTTCCTGCTCCAGAACTTAAAGGGAGAGGCTATCCAAAAATTCGCAGCGACGCAACAGATGAGTATTCTGGAACAGCAAGGGTCGCAGTTCGCCACCTTTCATTTGGAGGTGTCCCTCCAGGGACGCACAGCCAACGAAATCTACGAAACAATGGAGAAGCTGACTGGATGCACGCTGCTGAATCTCATCGGCGTCTCGATGAAGAAAGATTCCCTCCCCCATATGCCTCTGGCCAAGAAGCTGGGAGACATGGTTTACACCACACCTTAGCCCTAAACCCTCCAACTATGTTGACCACCATAAACCATTTTCGTCATCAGTGCCTGCAGTCAGCGACCACAGCCCGCATAGATCAGGCACGGACAGTACGGCCAACATCGGCGATGAAGGCATTTTGCCCTCCTCGCTTCCACGCATCGGATTGCAAGGCGGCAACAACAGCTGCTACCTTAATGCTTTTCTGTACGGACTGTGCACAGCTTTGCAACACAGCCGAATGAGTGATCTCATTCGTCAGGTTTTTGGGCAAGCATCAGAGGCCCCCCGCAGGGCCGGTCGTCTGATCGGGTTCAAACTTCTGGGATGGTCTGCACCCCAGAGCCAGCATGATGTCGCAGAGCTGATAGACTTTTTGCATCACCGACTGATCGGCCCCATCCTTCGAGGACAATGGGAGTCCAGAGGTCTTTCTGCAGAAGGTCTGGCTTTGCACCAGCAGGCGACCGCTCATAAGCGCATGCGCCTCCCCTGGGATCCCTCCAACCCTAGCCCCCAATATCCAAGACTCCATAACCCTATGGCATCAACAGCAAGTGCAGCTGCAGGGACTGTCGGAACCTTCACAATGGCTATTCCTACAATTGCCCAGGTTCCAACATCGAGCCGGGGGCAGCGTGGTGAAGCTTCAACATGCATACCTCATGCCCCACACACTGAGCATTCCTGTTTTCAACCACCTTAACAACCTTGAAGTGGACTGGACAACATATGACGTTGCAGCCTACATTCAACATCATGGACCGGAGCCAACTTCCGGACACTACACGACGGTAGTCCGAGACAGGGAGCACCTTTGGCTTTTGGACGATGAAAAACAGCCGTCCCGACTCGCATCAGCTGAGATTGATCACGTCAGCACCAACATGTACATTCTCGTGCTTGTGCAAGCTCTTAGTGTGCATGACCATGCAGCCGCTTCGCATGAAACCATAGGCCGCCTCATGCCCAGCAGTCACCATGCAGCCACACTCCCAGACTCGCAGTCTGAGGGAGGAGGACATCAGCTGGTTCACGAGCCGAGTCATGCTACTCAGAATGCAGATCGAGGGACTGGCAGAAGGATTGGAGGCACTTCAACAGGCCTTCATACGCCTCGAGGCCCGAGTACACCAATTGGAGCTGCGACAACCACCGGCGGCACCAATGGCACGAGTCACCAGCAATAAATGTTCCACGCAGTGGCGCACACCACTGCTGAGCATCTCGCTGGAAACCATGGATGACTAAATTTTTGCTTCAGCTGTCATTTTCTGTACAGTCTTCGCTCCTCGCTGTCAGATGACGTTGCGTTGGGCCGATAACCTCTTACGGCACTTTGGTGCACTTAGTTAGCTGATGCCGTACATGCGGCATTTGTGCCTGCCATCCTGAATGGCCAGCTTCTGAGACAGAAGCCGAAACAGGCGCTCGCTGGACGAGAGACGATTTCTTTCGCCGCGTGGGAAGAAGATGATGATGATGACGATGGCGATGATGGTGATCGTGACGGTGAGAGTGATGGTCACGGTGATCGTGATCGTGATCGTAATGGTG